GTCTCCTCCTCACCCACTCCACATAAAAACACCCACTACCACAATGACAAGATAGTTTATGAATGCATAGTTGGTTCCACTGTTTGTTTTTCAGTGTTACTGGGCTACATTGGTTTACTGGCCATTCTCAGTTTTTTTATTGCATTTCTGGCAAGAAATCTTCCAGACAACTTCAATGAGGCCAAATTCATCACTTTCAGCATGTTGATCTTCTGTGCTGTGTGGGTGGCCTTTGTTCCTGCTTATTTCAGCTCACCCGGAAAACATGCAGATGCAGTGGAGGTGTTTGCTATCCTGGCTTCCAGTTTTGGCCTCTTGGTGGCGCTGTTTGGACCCAAATGTTACATAATCCTGCTGAGACCAGAGAGGAACACAAAGAAAGCCATAATGGGTCGAAGCTCCAAAGGTACTACTGAACTGTAAACAAAAGAAGATGAACAAAAAAAATCCAGTAATTCGTTTTCAAATCTTGATTAAAAGTTACTATTACAATGAAGAAGACAAATTGATTGAAGTAGAATTTTGTTTATTCTGCAGTGTAATAAGACATGACATGTTATCAGTGAACCTACATTAACAGTAACAAAGACACTATGACGTCTGGGTTGGGACCTTAACCCAGCACATCCTCTAATTGAGTGTATGAGTGACAAGTGAGTGCTGTTATGACACAAGAGATAAAAACAGTATCAAAGTTTTGTGAAAATCTGTGAAGTGTTTTTTTTAGACGCAGATGCTGTTTGATTGATGTACATTCTGCACATCTTCAATAAACACCAATTTTGCTGTCAATAAGAGATTCTGTGTCATCCCTTTTTTAATGTCTTTGGATGTTTGTTTATTGACAACATCTGGCAACCAATGTGGGGCCAAACGGTAAAAAGTTAAAAAATATTTTAATTTTATATCCACAAAAAAAATAAAAAATTATTGTCTCCTACCATTGTTTAGCAATCTGTTATATAAAAGGTAAATAAATAAAACTATCAAACTACCAAAGCTCTAATTTTTTAATCAAGCTCTCATCTTGTTTGAAAATCTTATATTTGAGGTTATTTTATAGCCATAAAGGAATACTTACAAAAAATACTTTAGTTAATATTCACCTTTTAAAGTTATTCTATCAGTGATTTAATTTGTATAATCATTGAAATGAAACATAATGAACACTTGAGAAATACTTACGAACTTCAATACTTTATTTTCCAAAAGAGGGAGGAACATAAAAGAGTGGAGTGAGTGAGTAGTGAGTAGAGTGGAGGCAGGAGTATGCAGGTAGATTACATTTTATGTAAAAGAGAAAATTTGAGGGAGATTGGAGACTGTACGGTTGTGGCATGGGAGAGTGTGGCCAGACAGCATCTGATGGTTGTGTGTAGAATGGCAGTTGTTTTGAAAAAGAGTAAAATCAGAGAAGACCTAATGGTAGAAACTGAGAAAAGAAGAATGTTGTGAGGAATTCAGAGGAGAGTTGTGAAACATTTTGGGTGGTAAGAAAGACCTTCCAGATGACTAGGCTATAACATCAACAGTAACTAGAGAGACAGGTAGGAAGGTACTTGATGTGTCATCTGGACAGAAAATAAATGAAAAGGAAAATTGGTGGAGGAATAGTGAAATGCAGGAAGGTATTCAAAGAAAGAGGTTAGCCACAAAAAAAAATTGATAGTGAAAGAGCTGAAGAGAGTAGACACGAATATGAGGAGATTTAACATAGAGCAAACGGAGGTATAGGTAACGCAGAAGGTGTATGATGATTTTTATGGGTGGCTGTACACTAAAAGACAAGAAGTACTTGTACCAAATGGAAAAACAGAGGCTGGAAAGGATATACAACAGGGTAGGCTTGTGAAAGGACAGGAATGGTAATGTTCTAAAAAATAATGAGACAATGACAGGAAGATGAAAAGAGTATTTTGAGGAGCTAGTGAATGAAGAGAATGAAAGGGAAAAAAAAGTAGAGGTCATAGAAACTGTGGACCAAGAAGTGGAAAAGATTTGTGAGTGTGATGTTCAGAAAACTCTGAAAAGAATGAAAGAGGGGAAGGCAATAGGACCTAATGACATACCAGTGGAAGTTTGGAAATGTGTAGGAGAAACATCAGTGAGGTTGTTAACTCGAATATTCAATGGCATACATGAGGGTGAAAAAAATCCTGAGGAATGGAGGAAAAATGTGCTAATGCCCATTTTTAAGAACAATGGTGATGTACAGAGTTGTAGCACGTACTGTGGAATTAAGTTGATGAGCTACACAATTACGATCTGGGAGATAGTTGTGGAAGATAGACTTAGATAAGAGTTGACTTTGAGCAGCAGTATGGTTTCATGCAAAGAAAGAGGAGCATCAATGCCTTCTTTGCTTTGAGAATGGTTATGGAGAATTACAGAGTTTCGGAATGAACTTCATTGTGTCTTTGTGGATTTAGAAGAAGCATATGACGGTACCTAGGGTGGAGGTGTGGTATTGCATGAGGAACACTGGAGTTGCAGAAAAATATGTTAGATTGGTATAGGATATACTGTATATGAGGACAGCAGGACAGCGGTGAGATGTGCTGTAGGAGTGATGGATAGCTTCAAGGTGGAGGTGGGAGTGCATCAAGAATTGACTCTGAGCTCCTTCTTGTTTGCATTGGTGATGGACAGACTAACAGATGAGGTCAGGCTGGAATCTCCATGGACTTTAATGTTTGCCATTGACATTGTGATCTGTGGAAAAAAGGAACAGGTGGAAGAGAATTGAGAGAGGTGTGGAGGTATACTCATGAAAGAAGAAGAATGAAAGTCAGTCGTAGTAAGACAGAGTGCATTTATGAGAGGAAGGCAGGTGGAACTGTGAAGCTACAAGAAGCAGAAGTCATATACATACATTATATATATATATATATATATAATGTATGTATATATATATATATATATATATATATATAATTGTAATATTAATAATTATAATAATATAATATAAATATATAGATTATATAATCCTGATCTCAATGTATCTGATACAAGCTCATCAGGATTACACAATGTAGTCCTGATACAATGCGTCAGGATTTAGTCAGGGAGAGGAAAAACTTTCTTAGTGTAAATGGCTTGGTGTGCTGGTTCTATCTAGTGGGCATTATTATTAATTATACTGATGTGTGTTAATGGCATAATCAGGACAATGTTTTACAAAGTTAATGCTGGGACCGTACTGCAGATCATGAAACTAATGGGGGATCTTGGAAAGATTGGTGAACATTAAAAATGAATGAATAAATTAAAAAAATTAAAAAGATTGCTAGCCTTGTCACCATAATATTTAAAAGTGGTAAAAACAATGTTCTTAAGGAGAAAAATGGTAAATTGTTGTCGCTGTGGCCTTGTTTAATTTCTTTCTTGATATTTTTTAATTATTCAAGAAGCAAAACTTAATACTGTTTGTGTCCACTGCTGTTATTTATTTGGTCTCAAACGCAGAAGTTTCAAAAGTTTAATTAGTCTTTTTAAATAGTTGATATGTGGCGTGAACAAGAAGATATTAAATGCCTAGTATTCCATGAATAAATGCATCTCGCCTACTGCCTTTCATGGCAAACACAGACAAAAATCATCTTATGTAGAAAGATGGAAATGTTGCAGCCATTTTGAACATAACATCATGCACAGCCACATGTGAAATTGTTACATATCTTGTGTGATCTTGTATATGTCAGAGCTTGGCATTTGTGTTGTGCATGACTGTCAGTTGTAACCAAACCACACCACAATTTGTGCGCAAGTTCTATAAATTTCACTCAGCTATACACATTTTTTTTACAGACTAAGGTTGGTTAGCGGTAGCAACCATCTTGAATAGCGATGATGGCAAATGCTAATCCATTGTAAAGATACAATGATTTATTTCCAAGAGTTTTCATTAAAATCTATTCAGTGTTTCATGAGATGTAGTTAACAGTGCAGAAAAACAAACACACACTCAAACAAGAGCAACAACAATATTGCTCCTCCCTCTTTAAATGACAGGTATTAGGTCTGTAAATAGGGATGAGGAAATTAAAAACATATTAACTGGGCTCATAAAACGAGTCAACCAGATGAACGTCATGGAGCCCATTCAACTCTCATGCTTCCTCCTGCTTTTGTGGTCGCACTCGATAGTTTTTTCTATTGCATCCTCCTCTCTGAACTCCACCTCGTGTCTGTTGCAAGGACAGTTTCATCTAAATGGGATGCATAAGCCTGGAGATGTGGTGCTGGGGGGGCTGTTTCAAGTTCATTTCTTCTCTGTTTTTCCAGACCTGTCTTTTAACTTTGAGCCTGAACAGATTACCTGTTATGGGTGAGTTAAATGGAGACTTTGGCTTTAAAATAATGATGTTGTATAATTTTGTGTAAAAACTTACTTTTTTCTTTGTCAGTTTTGATGTTCTAGGAATTAGACAGGCCCAGACCATGGCCTTTGCTATTGATGAGATCAACAGAAATCCCAAGCTGTTACCCAACATGACACTTGGGTTCAGCATGTATGACAACTGCCTCACTCTTGGAATTTCGTTTCGTGCAGCCCTGGCATTAATCAGTGGTCAAGAGGAGGAAATTATATTAGATGAGACCTGTGTAGGCATCGCTCCAGTTGTAGGGATCGTGGGGGATTCTTCCTCCACAGGCACTATAGCCATCTCCAACATCGCAGGTTTTTACAGATTGCCCACGGTACGTTTTTTATTCTACTCCTAAAGGTTTCTCTTGAATCATTTTGGCTTTATTTCCTCTCCATTTTCCACTAATATGAATCTTAAAAGCTAGTCATGTGTTATATATTTACTTACCTGTGTATTGAACAGGTGAGTTATTTTGCCACATGTTCCTGCCTGAGTGACCGGCAGAGGTTTCCATCCTTCTTTAGGACAATACCAAGTGATGCTTTCCAGGTAAAAACAGCAACAACATAAAGCTTGTGTTGAAAACGTTCACTGTACTTAACAGGAATTATTGGATTTGATAGAGTGAAAATGTTTGCTGCAGAAAATAAAATCAATCACAGCCGACTAAACATTGGAAGCAGTTCAATACATTTTTTTCACTAAAACATCCTTTGTCACTCCTCCCCCTCCTTTTTCATTCAGGTCCGAGCTGTGATTCAGATTCTAAAACACTTTGGCTGGACTTGGGCTGGTCTGTTGATCAGTGATGATGATTATGGGCTTCACGCTGCTCGATCCTTCCAGTCTGATCTCAGTTTGTCTGGTGAAGGGTGTCTGGCCTACTTAGAAGTTTTGCCCTGGGAAAAAGACTTAAGTGAACTGAAAAGGATTGTAGACACAATGAAGAAATCCACAGCTCGAGTGGTCATTGCATTTGCACACAAGAGTCTGATTATCAACCTCATGGAAGAGGTTTGTATTTAAATGCATTGTGTTTTTTAAACCACACAATTTCCAGTACTGTAAAACAATGTTGCTTTATCAAACAGATAAAAAAACATGCTGAAATAACAATGACTATATGAAAAATAGATATGTTTTGCTGTGTTAACGAGAGACTTTGAATGTGAAAATGAAGTAATTAGCTTTAAAATATATCAGTTTGTTTGGCTAATTATGGCTAAAAAAAATCTGGAAATTATTCAAAATATAAACAGGTGGTGAGACAGAATCTGACAGGCCTGCAGTGGTTGGCAAGTGAAGCATGGGCCACTGCTGATGTGCTTCAGACCCCCCACCTCATGCCGTACCTGGGTGGTACGCTGGGTATTGCTATTCGTCGAGGAGAGATACCAGGCCTCAAAAACTTCCTGTTACAAACACGTCCTGACTTACATCACAACAACAGTAATGAAAACAGCATGGTGAGATATGGCTGTAATACAATCTGATATTTGCACCACAGATAAATTGTGATTGTTTAAAACACAGAATGATATTTATTACAGGTGAACCAGTTTTGGGAATTCACATTTCAGTGCAGATTTGCACCACCTCCAACAGGTTGGGTGGAGAACGGGGGATCAATATGTACTGGAGAGGAGGATTTGGAGAGTGTGGAAACAGAGCTTTTGGATGTTTCTAACCTCAGGCCTGAGTACAATGTGTATAAGGCTGTGTATGCACTGGCATATGCCCTTGATGATATGCTGCAGTGTGAACCAGGCAGGGGGCCTTTCAGTGGGGGTCGCTGTGCTGATGTACAGACACTTGAGCCATGGCAGGTATAATGTACTTCACCTGTTTTTATCTCTGTGTACTGTGCTGTATACTTTCTTTGTCTGGCAAAAAAGCACAAGACTGATGTTTAGTTGGTTAGGCTTGAAACAAGTCAAAACATTATAATAATATGTAATTGTCTCTTTAGCAATTAGTTATACATTTGTGTTTTTTTAATAATTAGATCAACAGTTAGTTTAGTTGGTTTCTATAAAAAGTCTGATTACTGTATTAACTTTTTTTTCTGTTTCATCTTGTTGAATTTGGTCTTTTTCATATTTGAATTGCATTAGCTTGTGTTTTACCTGGAAAAGGTCAATTTCACCACATCATTTGGTGATCAGGTGTCATTTGATGCAAATGGTGATGCTTTACCAATTTATGATGTTATGAACTGGCTGTGGCTCCCTGATGGACGAACAAAAGTTCAGAATGTGGGAGATGTTAAAATGTCGGCCCTCAAAGGTGAAGAACTAATGCTTTATGAAGACAAAATCTTCTGGAACTTTGAATCCAAACAGGTTAAACTTTGATTTTATTAAAATAAAATAAAAAAGTATAAAATGAAATACTATGTGCTTTTTCTCTCCCACAGCCACCACAATCAATGTGCAGTGAAAACTGTCCTCCAGGATCTCGCATAATGAAAAAGAAGGGGGAACCTTTTTGTTGTTTTGACTGCATTCCTTGTTCTGAGGGAACAATCAGTAATAACACCAGTAGGTGCCCATATTTAAGGATTTTCTCTGGCAGTTTATTGATGTGTTCATATTTAACGTGTCCATCTGTTCCATTTTCCCCCAGATTCCTTGGAGTGCTTCAGTTGTCCAGAGGACCTCTGGTCCAGCCCCCAGCGTGACCACTGTGTTCCTAAGAAAACTGAGTTCCTGTCCTATCAGGAGCCTCTGGGTATCTGTTTGACAGTTGCTTCATTACTGGGCACTTTCATCTGTGCTGTTGTTCTGGTGATCTTCATCTATCACCGCAGTACACCTATAGTGAGGGCCAATAATTCAGAACTGAGCTTCCAGCTGCTGCTCTCACTGAAGTTATGTTTCCTGTGTTCCCTGCTGTTCATTGGACGACCCAGACTGTGGACATGTCAACTGAGACATGCAGTGTTTGGGATCAGTTTTGTGCTTTGTGTCTCATGCATCTTGGTTAAAACCATGGTGGTTCTGGCTGTGTTCAACACTTCCAAGCCAGGAGGTGGAGCAAGTCTGAAGTGGTTTGGTGTTTCACAGCAGAGGGGGACAGTTTTAGTTCTCACCTCTGTCCAGGCAGCGATCTGCACCACTTGGCTTGTCTCCTCCTCACCCACTCCACATAAAAACACCCACTACCACAATGACAAGATAGTTTATGAATGCATAGTTGGTTCCACTGTTGGATTTTCAGTGTTACTGGGCTATATCGGCTTATTGGCTGTCCTTAGCTTTGTTCTAGCATTTCTGGCTAGAAATCTTCCAGACAACTTCAATGAGGCCAAACTCATCACTTTCAGCATGTTGATCTTCTGTGCCGTGTGGGTGGCCTTTGTCCCTGCTTACATCAACTCACCAGGAAAACACGCAGATGCAGTGGAGGTGTTTGCTATCCTGGCTTCCAGTTTTGGCCTCTTGGCGGCGCTGTTTGGACCCAAGTGTTACATAATCTTGCTGAGACCAGAGAGAAATACAAAGAAAGCTATCATGGGTCGAAGCACCAAAGGTACAACTGAACTGTAAAGAAAAAAAATAAAGAAAAAATGAATGAAAACAACTATTACTTTGTTAAAAACCCATGAGTAAGTTATAAATACCAAAGTAGTTTTGATTTTATAGCCACACAAAAATGAAAAAAATATTGTCTCTTACCATTGTTTAGAATTCTTTTGTATAAAAGGCAAATAAATAAATAAAAAATAAGAAAGTGCTATTTTTTTTAACCATTTAGAGTAATAATCCAGCTCTCATCTTGTCTGAAGATCTTATGTTTGACGTTATATTTTAGCTAATAATGAATACTCACCCTAATGCTTTTGATAAGAATTACCTTTTTTATTTCTTCAGTCTGTGATCCAGTTTGTATAATGATTGAAATTAAACATACCTTGTGTCAAATTGTGTCCAATAAGCTGTAATTCTTGTTGTATTTCATATGAAACTATTTCAACTCGTGATACAGAGAAAACGTTACCCACTGAGCCTATGTCATTAGTAAATTTGTGACTCTAAAGTTCAGATGATGAAATTAGCTTTTTCGCATCTCAAGCCTGATAAAATAAATCCCATTTAATCCTTCATTCATTCATTTTTGATACCCTCTTTGAATATTGTTAAATCCTGGGTGTCATAAGAGTCCAGATAAAATGATTTTTTTTTTCAAAATGTGTGAAGAAACAATCATTTTGTAATAAATTAGCCCAACTTACTATAGCTGTAATGGTTTAAGGTACCGGTTGTGCGCACAGAGTCAGCAAAGATGAGTTTGTCCTATTTTGTCCCATGGTCTTTGAATGATCTGCAGCTTAAGTTGAGGTTGGAGTCTTTTATTCCTTTAACTGGTTTAAAACAAAAATTGTCTTAGGTTTTAGTCACATCTTGCACCTGTAATTTTTTTTTTTTTTTTTTGGCGCCTGTAATGTTCGTCTGAAATTGTGATTTTTTTTTACTTGCATTGTATTTTATGTGTTATTAACAGATGTTTTGTTGCAAAAAATTTAATACTACTGTTAGGATAATTTAATGTTATCCTTTCTGCTGCTTAAATAAATATGCCACACAGGAGAGGTAGATAATTTTCTTAATCCCAGGTTTAATTTTGCAAGATGAAGCAGAGTTGAAATACAAACAGGCAAGGTGTTAACATGACGCGTCGTCTCCAAGTCTGCTCACCAAGTACCAAAAAGAGTGCCTTTTATAATGGCTATCAGACAAAGGCAAGGTCAGACGACTTTTGCAGCGTCCTTGCTTATTTGGGTGAAATGCTCCATGTTTATGCAGCACTCTGATCCAGACAAAAACAACTCTTTAACACACACACATGGTAATATAAGTTATATAGCATCTGACTTTAGTAGGTGAAAAACATCTGTGACCTTTCACATCTCCATCAACTACCGTTACTGTTTTTAAGACTGTGTTGCTGTATTTGCATATTGCCCAGGACATCCTTGTAAAAGAGATTAATAATCTCAATGGATCTCTTCCTGGTAAAATAAAGGCTGAATAATAAAAATACTATAGCTTTAACAAAGTAAAATTGGTCATCTCTAACAATTGTCAAGGAGATGCACGTACGTATTCAGCATATCTGCATCTATTTGGCTTTTAGTTGTTCTCTTTTCCTTCAGTTACCCAAAGTGCTGCAGTTTTGTTTCCCACACCCAGGGCTTAACTTGAGCCAGATCCTGCCAGAACAGGGCTGCAAACCACTATATAGCCCACTGGTCACTGGTATTGATAACAGCTACAGATTTTCTGGTCCCTTTGCCTGCTGCAGAGGCTTCTGGTCCCCTCAATGCTGCAGAGCTTCTGGTCCCCATGCCTGTTGCAGATCTTCTGGTCCCTACGTCTGCTGCAGACCTTTTGATCCCCACTGTTGCAGACCTTCTGATCCCCACATCTGATACAGACCTTCTGGTCCCTACGTCTGCTCCAGGCCCTCTGTTTTCATCACATGTGTCGGGTCTGCTGGTCCCATCTACAGCTGTAGACCCAGCTCCCGCCTCACTGTCTGCACACCCCTCTGACTCATTTGCCTTTGTGCTTTAACTCGTTCATTGATTTGTGGTTGATCATGGAACTGACAGGGAATGTGGACCTGGATTATTCCAGCCCCAGTGGTCAGCAGTCAATAAGAGTGCTGCTCTCCGGCTCAGGATGGGTGGGAAATGTTGTTCGGAGGTCTGGTGTCTTCCCTGGAGCTCATCTGAACTTTATCATCTGGATTCCTCTGGATTATTTGGACTCGCTCTGGACTATTGTATGATTCTTTGCTGGTACTCTGAAGATCCGGCTCTCTTCAGAAAGTTTGGAAGCTTATAGAGCGCCTTTCTATCTTTTCAAGACACTCCAAGTGCTTTACACTACAATCTGTGTCCTCATTTACCCATTCATACAGCACTCTACTAGATCTCTATAAAGCTAATTGAACAAATCATTCTAAAGAAACTAATCAGTGCTTTATGACATTCATACACCGATGGGACACACTGACGGGTTCAGTGTCTTGCCCAGGGACATTTCGGCATATGACTGCTGGTGGATATGAACCTCCAACTCTTGCATTGAAGGATGACTGCTCTAACCACTCAGCCACAGCTGCTATACTTCCAGCCTCAGCGGTCCCCTGAGTGCTGCTCAGTGGCGCAAGAAGTCTCTCGAACACAGAGGTGCTGTTCTGAGTATTGGTGTCTTCATCGGAGCTTCAGCCGAGCTTTTCTGCATCTTTATCTATATTCCTCAAATTTTTATTTTTTTGCTTTCTAAGAGTCAGTGGAAATGCTGGGGCTGCAGTAAGGTCTTATTCTTCCACCTCTTCTCCCACCTGCTGCTGTCCAGCTTTGCAGCAGCAGCTGCAATAACATTTCCACCCCTCTCTGTGCCAACATCGTTTGCAGCTGGACCACTGTGCCGATCCACCTGGGCTACACGAACCAGGTCAAAGCCGGGCTCAAGGTGAACCAATCCTACTGGTTAGTGAGGGTCCAATGGCCTGCAGTTCTTTACTCCATGTGCCCCCTGATGTGCATGATTCTGAAGCAGAACGTCCATTCTGAACATTCTGGATGGTGAAACCATGTTGATGCATCTGAACTGCCAACTTCACTGCTACTGGGTAATAACCACATCTTTATAAACACATCTCATCATAACATGTTTATGAGGACCAAGAACTACAATATAAACCCAACAACTATAGTACTGTTGTTGGATAATTTAATTATCCTATCATCAACTCATTTATCAAATAAGCCAGGATGCAAAAAGATCTTTACAACCCAGATTTAAATGTCCTTGCAAGTGGAGTAACAATTGATAACAGGAATACAAGATGTTACCCGATGCCCTGATCACAAGGTCTGCTCATGTACAGCATAAAGGAGCATCAGCTTATACATGAAAAGGCTAGGTCAAGGCAACTCTGCTTTCCAGCTTAGGGGCCTTGAAGTTTATCGGGTGCGCAGGCTCCGTGCTCCTGCAGGTTCTACTTTGTTCAGACAAAACAACTCTAACTCACACACATGGTTATTAATTTGACATTAGTAAATGAAAAACATCCATGACCTTTACATCCCCCATCAACTGTCACAAAGAACTCTTGAAAATGTTTAATTGTAATGTTTTTATTTGTTGTCTGGCATTCAACCCAATTCTGGTCCACTCACCTCATGTAATACTCTTACAAATTTTAAAACATTTCAGATTTACACATTGTACATATTAATGCTCGTAGCTCCCTTCCAAAAATAGATATGCTTAGGATTTGGGCTTCTTCTACTGGCGTTGATATTATTGTTTTTTCTTAGTCTTGGTTGACTAAATCTATTCTGGACAAAGATATATCAATTAATGTCTTTAATATTTATCATTCAGATCGTCCCAGAAAAGGAGGAGGTGTAGCAATAATATATGTCAGATCTAGCCTGGTAACACAACTGGTATTTACAAAATCAGCAACTAAGCAATTTAAAGTCTTGGCACTAAACACTGAACTGTCTGGTGGTCAATCGTTATTTGTTGTTGGCTGCTATAGACCTACCGCCGCATCTGAAAGCCTGTTGTCTTTAATGCAGCTTTTATCTAATTTACATCCCAATTAAATTGTTCTGGCAGGTGATTTTAATTTAGATTGACTTTCTCCTGTGTCTGAGGAACACTGGGACATTGTGTTTAGAAAATAAACGTCTCAGTTTCTCTGATACTCCCTCAACATATGGAATGACCACTGGTCTGGGTCTGGGTTCCTCCTTTTCACCTGTTGGCTGACTGGAGTCCTGTTTGGGTTTCTTCTCTGCTTTTAGGAAGGCCCAGTTAGGATATCCACATTGCTCTAGAGCCTGTCTTGTGTGGGATTTCTCCTTCTGCCTGGCTCCTGAGTTAGTGGGGACGCTGTCTGCTCTGTGGTACAGAGTCCTGATGACTCCTAACTACCATTATTGAAGGGAGGAGATCCCACTAGAGTGTAACAATTATCAACGAATCTCCAGACTCTATATTTTAGCTAAGCTTTTAGAAAAACTGATAAATACTCAAGTCAGTAAGTATTTGGACTCTTAATATTTTGTCATCCCTCCAATCTGGTTTCAGAAAACAACATAGCACAGTGACTGCTTTGCTAAAGGTCATGACATCTTATGCCACAAGCTCTCAGATATTGGTTTCTCAGATTCCACTTTTGGTTGGTTCTCAAACTATCTCTCAGGTCAGAGACAATGTGTTCAACATAATGGTACTTTATCTAGCTACTTAACGGTCACTAATGGTGTGCCACAAAGCTCAGTTTTAGGTCTCACTCTTTTTACAATTTATATAAATAGTATTGTTCAAAACATTCTTGACACATCGTTGTATCTCTATGCCGATGACACTGTTATTGCTGAGCTAACACAGTTGCTAAGGTTTTCCAGCTTCTACAGTCTGGATTTGATATCATTCAGACAGACTTACTCCATATCAAACTGGTGCTAAATGCTGACAAAACCAAAGGGATGCTGTTTTCCAACAGAAAGTCGGTGACAGCAACCTTCCCCTATCTTATCTTATCTTATCTTATCAGGTCTCTCTTGTAAATGAGTCCTCGAGGCTCAATGGGATTTACCTGTCTAAATAAAGGTTGATTGATTATCCATGCGGGCAGCACGGTGGCGCAACTGGTAGAGCTGCTGCCTCTCAGTGAGCAGGTCCTTGGTTCAAACCCCGGTCCAGGGGCCTCTCTGGGTGGAGTTTGCATGTTCTCTCCATGCATGCGTGGGTTTTCTCCGGGTACTTCGGTTTCCTCCCACAGACCAAAAACATGCATGTTAGACTGATTGGTAACTCTAAATTGTCCCTAGGTGTGAGTGAGAGCGTGAAAGGTTGTTTGTCTCGTTTGCTTCTATGTGGCGCTGTGATGGACTTGCGACCCGTCCAGGGTGTACCCCGCCCCTCGCACAGTGATTGCTGGACATGGGCACCAGCGACCCCCGTGACCCAAAATGGAATAAGCGGGTAAAGATAATGGATGGATGGATGGATGATTATCCATGCATGGTGTTCCTACTGAATTTGTAGATTCTTACAAATACTTAAGAATTTTGGATAATGCACATCTCTCTTTTAAACCACATATTGAAAACTTGATAAAGAAACTGAAATTAAAACTGATGTTCTTTTTCAGAAATAGATCTTGTTTCGTTCTGAATGCCAAAAAACACCTTGTAACAGCAACTTTCCTATACTGACCATTGACTATGGTGACATTATTTACATGAATGCCCCTGCCAGCTCCTTGCAGATGTTGGATGCTGTCTACCATGGCACGCTAAGATTCATAACTGGTTGTAACTACCATACCCATGACTGCACTTTGTACTCATTGGTCAGTTGGTCATCATTATCTACACGTAGGCTATCACACTGGTACATCTCCATCTATAAATCACTCCTTAGTCTGCTACCTTCTTATATCTTCTCCCACTTGTCATGTTGTCAGTGCAGTTACAACGTGCGCTCTCAGACCATCATTGCTTGCAGCATTTCCTCAGTGCAGACTGAACTTGGCAAAAAGGCCTTTTCCTACTCTGCTCCTGCAACATGGAACACCTTTCAACAAGAACTGATGCTGTCCACCTTAACTTCTTTAAGGGATTTTAAACGTTTGATAGTGTCAATAGAACAATCTAAGCAAATATGTTCTTGTTTTTAGTATTTTACATTGTTTTATGGCACCCTGATTTACTATTTTATTAAACCACTGTTATTTTAACTGCGTTTTTACTGTAGTTTATTGTTATTGTTTATTGTTATTGTTGTCCATACTTTGTATGTTCTGTCTGGAACTGGTCCCTCTTGTAAATGAGTGCTTGTGGCTCAATGATACTTGCCTGCATTAAAAAAGAATTGAAAATATATATTATATATCCTGATGCATGCTCATGCATGCTATAGTATATATATATATATATAT